GCCGGTTGGGGCATGTGTTACGCATACCACCAGATAGGTTACCACGGCGAGCGATGTGAGGCGAAGCAGGTAGTGGGTGGAATAAAGCCAGGGGCGGTTAAACCAAGTTCTGACACGAGTGTGAAAACCCTGACCAGGAAATTCTGTCACATAGGTCGCGTTCGGCTCCCTGGCTGGGGACCTCGGACTGATCGTAACCGGAGGTTAGAGACACTGAGTGATATGGCTGAATGTGGTAAACAGTGCCGCTCGTACATCTTCTCAACTATTTTGCAACCATAGTCCGCTGAAATTATCTTTTCTTCGATTCTACTTCCTACTTTCCTGTCTTTCTCCTACTGCTTCATCCAGAGAGCAGCCAAAACTGAGGCACGAATGTGCAGTTAACGGTTGTACAAAATGAAACTGAAACCATTACTATTGGGCGAACAGTTTACAGCGTAGAAGTAATAACTAAGAGGAGGGAGTCGAAGTTTCAGACATGGTCTGGAGCTCGAGGGAGAACAAGCTGAAAACATTTGAACGGTAGATAAATGCAAACATCAGTTATGGAAAGGAATGAGATATGCAGGGAACAGTTGGGGGAATAAGGATGGGTGGCATCTATAGCCGAAATACAGGTTTCGAGGAAAAACGGAGAAAGAAGAAAAGCAGACTGGTGTATAGAATTAAAGTTGTAGTTCAAACCGCGAACGTTGAGCGAGTAGGGTGGGCACGAGTTGCAATCTTTTTGGACGTCGTTTTTAATGATCAGCTGGTCAAGGAATTTTGAGTGCTGAGCTGTGTAACGTTCCAACGGCTAGAGGGTAATACTTCCCAGAACGATGAAAGAATCATCTACCACTATGATAAGGTTTACCCCGTTTACTGTGTTCTCTAATGTGTAAGAAAAAAGATGGGGAAGCACTTAAGCCTTACTGAGCAAGATACAAAGCTGATATGTGAACCAGTCTCATATAAAGGAGAAAATCAGGAGAAAGGCTACTCACCACAACTTACCAATAAGGTGGGGGAAACAAATGTTAAGCACGGATTTTCCATTCCGCCGTAGGGGAAAGAAGGTGGCAAAACTAACACGTCATACACTTTCCAAACGTACGGTCCGCACAGATATTCAGCTGCAGCGAGCATTTGTTCAATCTCGGAGAATTCTTTGGCTGCTCGACCAACCACACTGGGTTCAGCCCATACAGACGAACGGGGACCGACACGCCTGAAAAAATGGGTGATGATGGTATTATTATAATTGTCACTAAAATGGAACATTGACCTAGAAACAGACATTAAACACGGAGATATGAGAAAGTGGATCCCACTGATCGCTCCTGGAATGATGAAGCGTCAAGAATAAATGAGCAAGATAAACTGAGAGCGGACGTACAATGTTTCAGAACATGTCGGGTAGTAACTCAAGCAATGGATGTTCGTCATCCTTGGGACCCCGACCGGGGAGTTTAATGTCCTATAACTGTCAATTTTGAGGTCAACACCTTCATCCCCCGAGCCTAGGTTAGTGGCTGTCCAACTCGAAACCGTTCTCAGCTAAGGTCAGCATGCGAAAACATAACACGAAAGAGCAGTTGTTGTAGACGCATTCGCAGCACATGTCCCAGACATTGAAGAGTTGGGAACAAGGTGGACGATTAAGATTGACTGAATCACAGGTTTTCCGGTAAACCTTGTCTTCGGCGATTCGCTGTTGCCAACCTATTCTGACGATATAAATGAAGACAACGGTGGTCAAGGGCACTTAGTTTCCGTGCGACTTCTGAGTGAACGAGCCACCTCTCACAGCCAAACGACGACTGCGTTTGTGGTGGCATTGCAGGCTCGCTCTTATAAGGAAATATTGAGATCGCGTCGATGCCAGAAGTGACGTAGTTTACCGAAAGCCTTTCATGGCTTGCGGATACACCATCAAGAGCGGAGTGCAATAGGACCATCTTATTCTAGAATTTACAAAGCATCACGGGGCCTCTGGTGTAGAGCTACTTCCAATTGATCGACCTCGTGATTTAGAATTGACATCGTCATAATCTGCCACTCCTCCCAAGACACTCGGAACGTCCTAAGTAAGTCACCAATGTCTATCATCTAGCTTGAAATGTTTCAGTTCCAATTCACTTTGTACAACAATTAACCAAACATATTCGTGCACCGGTATTGGTAGCTGTCTTTTGGCTGCCCATTTGAATGAACAATAGCAGAAG